GATCAGCAGTCTTCCCCATGATTGTGTAGCCTAGTGAACCAAACTGAGAGACCATTTTGAAGGCTCAGGAAACCTTTGCAGGTGTTTTGAGTTGATTAGCTGATTGGCATGTCACCATATTCTAATTTGTTGAGATAGTGAATTGGTGGGTTTTTGTTAAATGTGAGCCAAAATCATCACAATTAAAAGAACCAAAGACTTAAACTACTTCAGTCTGTGTGCATTGAATTTATTTAATACATGAGTTTCAGAATTTGAGTTGAATTACTGAAATAAATTAACTTTTCCACGACATTCTAATTTATTGAGATGCACCTGTATACCCTTTGGCACATGACGTCCACTGGAGTGGACAGATATATTTTCTGTCACAGAAAAAAAATGTACAAACATTTTTTTTTTTGTTAAAATCTGGATAATAGTATCTCTGACATACTATTTAGCTGAAAAATATTTTTTGTACCAGTCTGGTTTTCTGAGAATAAAAGGATTTAACACTTATTCCTGAGGTAATTGGTGCATCTCCTCTTCCCTCCGCCTTTTTGAATATATGATGCGATATCTCAAAACAAAAAAAATAGATACAAAGACAATAATTAAATGGAATCGTAGACAGCACTTTGGGGGTTCACCACTTGGTGGTTGGGACATGGTACTACAACCTAAATGGTTAAAAATGGCAACATCTGGTCCAAATGGTCCAAACATCTGTCCACTATAGTGGACACCATGCATGAAAGGGTTAAGTTACAAATCTTTCTCCTTTGAGCTCAGATCATCGTAGTTTGTTCTATTCATAGATACAAAGCATGTCTGAAGTGCCACCCAAAAAACTGAAGCAGACTGAACTTCTGAGCTTCTTTCAAGAGAGTCCTGTGAGTATTATTTTTCTCATCCTTTTTGCTTAGCCTCTTCATTAGATTTAGACTTATTTCCAATGGTAATGTTGTTGTCTCTTTCAGAAAAAGCAGACTGCCACAGACAGTGAACCTGGGGAGAAGTCAGAAGCTAGTGACAATGTTCAGGTAAGGTTGTGACTGTCAGCAATGGGCTGTAATTAAGCGCGCGATGATAAGGAATATCACAGAACAGTCTTTAATCATTAATCTAACTGGGGAAACTCAGGAGAATCACATGGAGTAATACATAGATCACAACATAAACTAAAGACGAGATGAGGGCTTAAATACAGAGTAAGTTAATTAACTAGTACTAATGACAGGTGAAAACTAATTAGAAACCATGGAAACTAATGAGGAGTAGGAACACAGGTAACACGGGAAAAGGGCAGTGGTGGACAGTAACGGAGTAGTTTTACTTCGTTACTGTACTTGAGTACATTTTTCAAGTATCTGTACTTTACTGGAGTAATTTTATTTTGAGTAACTTTTACTCACTACATTCCAAAGCATAAGATCGTACTTTTTACTTCACTACATTTCATAAAACATATCGTTACTCCTTATTATATCACGTGCTCCGAGACGCAGAAGCGGTGTCTGATTCAAGAACGAACTGATTCTTTTCAATTAACCTTTTAAATCGGTTCGCAAATCGCACCAAACGATTAATTCACGAATTAGAATGAACCGATTGCAGTTGTTCTCGAGTCGACAACTCACTGATTCAAATGAACCGTTTGGTGCGAGTCTCCAGTGAACTGAATTCACAAGTAAGAACAGGGAGATCTTGTGAGCGCACGCGACTGATGCTGCTAAAAGTAAGTTACTAACGTCGAATTTTAGGATTAATTATTGTAACTGAAAATTATATTTAGGTCAAAACTGTCCGTTGTTTGTTAACTAAATCTGCTGTAAAGGGTGATCTGTTTAAGCCCACTGAAATGCTTGAATGCAGACACATCAACATCAGTGTCCCTATGTTTTACGTAAAAAAAAACGAAACATTAAAATAACACAGATTGAATAAAATAACATATGCACGTTCATATTCCCTGCTGCCCTAATGTTAACAGTTTTATTAAAATGCTACGCATTTAGCCCTATGTGACGTCTGTTTTTATATTGTTTATCAACAGTATA